GAAGTGTAAAACGTTGATCAATCATAAACCTCAGTGTGTAACGCCCGAAGCAATCGCTAGAAGTTGGTCAATTTTTAACTCTCAAATGCTTGATGTGTCATTTGACTTGGATTGAGCCAGTAAGGATCGTAAGGGTAACTGGAACTGATCGGTGTAAAGCGAGTTCTGTAGCTTCGGTGAAAACGGGTGGAAAAAATTTCTTCTCTATCGTTTGAAGCTTCACAGCTCAACGCCTTGGCGGAACGCTTTACAACACTGCTTTCAGAATTGGAAACACTTGAAGGTGATAGTAAAAGCGCGTTACTCAACTGTTTAGTGGAAATTTTCCGAATTTTTGCCTATAAGACACGACAAAGTGGAGGAGTTACCCCCAAAATCTCTTTTAGAAGGCAGTAATTCTCCTCTTATGAACCTCCGTTGGACTTTTTGCAGTATAAATAAGTAGAATCCGATCTCACAGATGTACTACTACAGAAATAAAAAAAGAAATTCTAAAAAGAGTAATGCAATTAACCTATTCCTATTTCCACAGTCAGAAAAATTTACGAAGTAAACACTAAAGATTATTGTTTTTATTGAATTCAATCATTTATGAATAGTATTATAAGCAGACGAATTTTACATTTAAATAACAGTTTACACATTACAACAAACTAAGGATTATAAGACAAAACAGAAAAACCACTTTTATATAAAAATGCACTTACCTTAACATAGGAATGTATTTGGGAACTGTCCTTTACAGCTAATTGGGCATTTGGATATCGCTTGACTAGATCTTTGAGTGTGTCCGCCGGTCTCGGACTTCTGTGCAGACTGAGTGTTGAAGTCAGGCTCCCACCATACAGAGAACTTAGAATCAAAGCTCCTATAAACCACGTCCCTAACACTGTCCTGCAGGATATGGCCTTGGGATGATGCAGGATACCTAGGGATGCATCATGGGAAGTTATAAAATTAACATAAAATTTGCTGAAAATGAATGTAACGAATCAGAAAAAATTACCATATAAAGAGCGATATAGAAAAGAAACCAAGTCATAGATGCTACACTTTAAGAGTAATGAAATGAGTAGAATAGCAAGGAAATCTTTTTATTTAATGTTTTACAATTACACTCTGATGTTAGACATGGTAGTTCTGAATTGATGCGACAAACTTTAAAAGAAGATGCGCACGCGTAGAAATGTATGGACTCAAGAGATTTAAGGAGGCACTAACACATGGACGGCCTGATGGCCAATTGGCTAATGCTGCGGCCTTTGATGGCCTAAACTTGCCACAGGCTTCAGTTTCGAATCTTGGATGTGGCATTAATGTTTGCTAATGGTTCGGAATCCGCGTCGTTATACTATAAATGATATTGTAATTAGCCAAAGTGTGAAAAAAGTGTAGCAACAAACTAACACAAGATATGTACCAGGAAGAACATATAAAAAGTTTAAAAAAAAATTACAATTATGACTTTATAACAATTTTTATACAACTCTTCAAAATTAGGATAGCTGACAGGATATATATTTGTAAGTGCACATGCAAGAATTTGGACACATTTCTGAGTCATTATCAAAATTCTTGTGTAGTCCTCAGCAGATTCAATTGGTGTTTGGCATATGCATCAAAGAAGAAATTGAGGATGGTAAACCTAAATAAATGTAATGAAATTTGTGGTAGGATCGATTGGCATGGCGTAACCAAAAGCTTTCATGTCTGTGACAAGTTCGAGCACGATAATATTATTGGACTAGATGTCTAGGACATGAGCAGGAAAAAGGAATGAGAATGAAAACCTCTCGAATTGCACTCTTGAAAGAATTTGTTCCTGGTGGTTCACACTGGGTACCGACAAATCTGTTGCACATCATACATGTTGCTCCACTTTTTTATGATGGTAAAATACCTTATATCAAAGTGAAAATCAATCATTTGAAAATTAATTTGTTCTCATGGTTCACACTGAGTAAAACTTATTATACATCAGCTATTATAATATCTTAGATCAAATGAACATCAGATGAAATATCTTAGATCAAATGAAAATCAATCATTCGAGAAAAATGTGATTAATGATACACGTTAAGTATTAACTGTTGAGAAAATAAATTAGTGAAAGGTCATAATATGAAAAAAAAATTCTATCCAAATATTTAATAGTAAACATCAACAAAATCACCTTATGGTGACTGGAGTAAAATAGCCTGAACATAGCCTATACATGTCGTAAAAATAGACAAAAATAGGCATCCAATACCCGGAGATATAGCTGGGTACCTTGCTCCTGGGGATTATATTAGGGGGCTGGTCCTCCAGGTTGGGAGTTGGGCATGGGGCTGACAATTCCATCCCGTAAAAATCCTCACCATTTAGAAATCCAATGAAGAAAGCAACCGGTAGATCTTACGGAGACGGACTGAAACAAGGAATAAGGATAATAGGAAATGGAATCTGTATTTAACTGTTTTTAGCTTGGGATGTTTTATATCTATATAGAACTAATGCTTTGCAGAGAGGATGACACAAACTGTGATGGACAGACGCAGTTGGAAAAGATTTTGTTCTAGTAAAGGTTAAGAATTGGAGGACCCTTGCTACCCAGAGGAATGCATGAAAATATTTTCAAAGGAAAACCTTGGCCCACCCTGGGCTGTTATGGTATTGATGACGATGAAACACCAATAAAAGCAATTTAATAATCTATTTAGCAAAGTATAGAGCACACTTGACTGTTTCACCAAGTTTAAGCCCTGATTTGGATTCACGGTTACCCAAAACTTATAGACAATTTAATTTTTAAATATTTAAAACGTATTCTCACTTTGTCCTACGAGGGTTTTGTAAATGGCTGCCGTGCTCCTCACTGCGGCCTGCACAAAGGCTTCTTCTTTACTCTCCGGTCTCTTTCCCTCGTAACCGCAGGCTTCAGAGACATACAGAGTGAGGCAGTACACGCTGCATCCCAGGATCATGGCGAACGTCAGACTGATCCACACCTGAAAGAAACAAGAGCCCCGTTAAGGAAAAGTTTTTAGTATTGTTTATTTTTCCCTTAAATTATCCAGTTAATAAAAAGCATCATCTTCCTTTTTAAAGTTAATAAATATTTTCCAATTCACTTTTGCAGATACGAACCCAACATCGCCTCTTTAATGATGCTGAAATAAGTTTGGAAAGATTTTCTTCCAAAAGGTGACGATTAATCCATTTATAATCGATATTTTACAAAATTTATTTAAGAGCCGTATCGTGATGGTGAATAGCGCTTCAAGTTTTCAAATCAAGGGTGTTTGATTCGAAATTTGGGATGGCAAATTATAAACCTAAGGGCTGTGCCAGGAATGGCCACGATGAATCTGTACACTCCAATGTTCTTACACTGTGTTTGAAGTAGGATGGAGAAGAGTGTGAACCCATTAAATGTTCCCTTGGCCAGGTTCTTTCAAAATCATTGTGGCATAATGTGGATTCACAGTAGCAGGTAACTCGTGGTGCAACCTGATTAACTCTGAATCTGTAAAACTTCTGTCCTTGACGGGGTCCATGAATTCAATTGAAGCACCCGATAATCGAAAACGACAACATTAACAAAATATTCACTTTATGAATATTTATTTAATTCTGGCTTGGATAAGATACTTTATCCTCAAAATAATAACTTCTATAACAATGTTTAATTTTTTACATATGTTAATATGTTTTATAGTAATTATTAAACGCTTTTTAAATTTAGGAAATTTTTTAAGTAAAGTAAGAATTTTAAATTTCGTAATTCTCTCATGGTCAAAGTAATCCATTATCCAAATTACCTGCATGTTACAGAATTACAGAAAACATATCGTATTATTAGATATATCGCACATATCGTTTGTGCCAGTCCACAAATATAACATCAATTACCATATTATTAAGTACTATCCTATTAGGTATATATGCAATGCAAAACATATATATAAAATCAAACAGAATATTTGTCACTAAGCTCTTTGATTTTTACTTTATATACGTGATAATTTAAAGCGCATTCTGACATACGCTGAAGAAATCAAGTCTTATTTTGAAAATTTTTCAGTCACTGTGATGATAAAGTATCTAATACAAACATATTGAAGTATACTGATTTCGGGTCTATTAGTTTATTATTTAATTAAATTTTCGAAAATAAAAACACCAAGTTTTATGTAAAACTTCCACCTTTAACTAAATAATGTGGTATTCGTTGATACAAGACTGAGCGGTCTTTGAATGAAATTTACCTGCCACTACTACTTTGAATGAAAGTTAACTTTTGATTTTACATCTAGACTAAGTCCAAGAACCCATATGGTCTCATGGAAAGAGGGAAAGGGGGGGGGCAGCTTCTGTTGTGATGAAGCACCAGTAGGTAGAAGTCTAACTTGGCTGCATGACACTGACTTTCTACGGGGTAATGTTGTCAGCCCTATTCTCTACAGCCATGACCGGCTGGGGCCTACGGTTTGAAGTGAATTCCGGGACTCGAATCTTAAACCTGTGGCACCGAGCGCCACACAGTCATTCGGCCCTCAGGCCCTACCACACTTTTAATTAAACACTTGCAGGATATTGATCTATTGAGAAACAGTTTTATTTTCGATACCACAAATAAACACTACACCAGTAGAGAAGTATCTGCTTTTGTAACATACCCTGAAGTCGATGTCCTCGAACAGAATCCAGGTCCTGCTGTAGAATCCTGGTGTTCTGTAGATGAAGGTGACCGTTTCGGGAAATACGGCTTCTGTGAGATCGACAGCGATGCTTCTGTCCAGTGTCCATGAGAGGTCTCCCACTGCCATGTCCACTGTCTGAAAGATTTACAAGTTGTAGAGAAAGCAACAGACAATATTGATCTAATGAATTTGATATATTGGCAAAGAATATTATTCAATCAATTTACAATGTAAGCAGCATAATATCATAAAAGATATCTTATCAAATTATAGAGGATATTTTATTTTTGTTTTTGCAAAATACGGTTTAGTGCCAACGGCCATACCATGCTGAATATACCGGTTCTCGTTAGATCACCGAAGTCAAGCATCATTGGGCGCGGTCAGTACTTGGGTGGGTGACCACCTGGGAACACCGCGTGCCCGTTGGCGTTCACAAATTTGGGACCTGAATGGCCGAGTGTCTAGCGCTCTGGCGCTCGGTGCCACAGGTTTCGGGTTCGAATCCCGGCGGTGTCATGGATGTTTGTAGTGGTTCGGAATCTACTTTAAGCACTTTTTTTTGTTTAACACAAATAAAATTGAAGTAAATGACTACATTTGAGTTAAGTATGAAAATACAGTACATACTAGTACATAGTAGTTGAAAATAAAATATAATAATAATCCGTATTTTTTTCCCCAGAATATCGAGCTGAATCTACGGCAGTAAAGCATGCTTGTTTAAGAAATATTGCATCTACAGCTATTCATAAATAGAGTAGAGTGAAGTAGGTTCTTTCTTTCATAAAAGTAAAACTTTGGTGAATGACTACATTTCAGTTAGGTACGGCAGTATAGTACAAAGTTGAAAATAAATTTCTTTTTACAGAATATCGAGCTGAATCTATGGCACGAAAGCATACCTGCTTAAGAAATATCACATGTACAGCTATTTATAAATAGAGGTAGTAAAGTGAAGTATGTATTTTCTTTCACACAAATAAAATTTCAATGAATGACTACATTTGAGTTAGTAGAGCAATACTGTACAAAGTTGAAAACATATTTCTGCTTCTAGCATATGAAGGTGAATCTATGGCACGAAAACAGCAATGGTCAATAAATATCACATCTAAAGCTATTCATAAATGAGATCTTCGTCCCTCTCACTCAATTCTATGAAATTATATACCAAGCAAATAATGACTAGCCAACGGCAGTACCATGCTGAATATACCGGTTCTCGTTAGATCACCGAAGTCAAGCATCATTGGGCGCGGTCAGTACTTGGGTGGGTGACCACCTGGGAACACTGCGTGCCGTTGGCAAATTTGGGACCTGAATGGCCGAGTGTCTGGCGCTCGGTGCCACAGGTTTCGGGTTCGAATCCCGGCGGTGCCATGGATGTTTGTAGTGGTTCGAAATCCACTTTAAGCCGTAGGTCCCGGTCTCCTATGACCGTAAGAGCGTCCACGGAGCCAAAGTCAGGCTTCTACCTACGGGTTCTCCATCACAACAGAAGCTGCTTCCTTCCCCTTCAATCATGAGTCCGTATGGGCTCGTGGGCTAGGCCAGCCAAGTGGGATAAGAAACAACAAACAACGGTTTTTAATGTCGTTTAAAGAAAAAAGCAAGCAAAGCCAATGATGCAGTCAGCTATGTATTAAATTTCCCTCATCATTTCTCGATGGTTAATCTTCATCTAGTGGTACACTATGGCGAAAAGAAAGAAAAATGTAATTTTTTATTAGTTATAAAATATCAGGTTGGGGAAAAAGAAATCCATTATTTTTTCGATAGATGGCTGTAGTGATCGATATCACGTAAAGTATCAATTAAACAATTTCAGATTTATGCTCGTTAGAAAGGTGGCACTTCGTACTAAAATAATTCTTTTTCTGTTTTCTGTTTGGTCCATTCAGTTGGGAGTTACAGGGTGTTAAAAATGGAAGTGAACAAAGAGAAAATTCGGTACATTTTACAGTTTTTCTTTGACAAAGGCGAAAATGCAAGCCAGGCGGCTAAAATTGTGAATGGTGTTTATGGTTCCGATACTGTAACAGCCAATTATGTGCAATTTTGGTTTCGTAGATTCCGTTCAGGAATTTTTGATGTTAAAGATGCACCTCGCACAGGTAGGCCGGTCGTCGAAAATGTCTATAAAATCGGAGAAATGATCGAAGTTGACCGGCATGTTAGCAGTCGTAACATCGCCCAGGAGCTAAAAATCGACCATAAAACAGTTTTAAACCATTTACACAAAGCTGGATTCAAAAAGAAGCTCGATGTTTGGGTGCCACACCAATTAACAGAAAAACATGATGGATCGAATTTCCATCTGCGAAGCCTTGGCCAAACGGAATGAGATAGACCCATTTCTTAAACGGATGGTGACTGGAGATGAGAAATGGATCACATACGATAACCCTGTGCGAAAACGATCGTGGTCAAAGAGCGGTGAAGCACCTCAAACGGTGGCCAAACCAGGACTAACGGCCAGGAAGGTTCTGTTATGCATTTGGTGGGACTGGAAGGGGATTATTTATTATGAGTTGCTTCCATATGGCCAAACGCTAAATTCTGATCTCTACTGTCAACAACTGGACCGTTTGAAGATAGCGATTGACCAGAAACGGCCAGAATTGGCCAACAGGAGAGGTGTCGTGTTCCACCAGGACAACGCTAGGCCACACACATCTACAGTGACTCGCCAGAAACTTCGGGAGCTTGGTTGGGAAGTTTTAATGCATCCGCCATACAGTCCGGACTTGGCACCAAGCTATTATCATCTTTTTCTTGCATTGCAAAATTTCTTTAATGATAAAAAATTGGCATCTAGGGAGGATTGTGAAAATCGACTACTAGAGTTTCTTGCAAATAGAGACCAGGACTTCTATGAGAGAGGCATTATGAAGTTACCTTTAAAATGGCAACAAATCATACAACAAAACGGTGCATATTTGACCCAAATTGGACAATCCGAAGCATGTTAACTAAAGTCCTGAAGTTCATATAAAAATAATGGATTTCTTTTTCCCCAACCTAATATATAATATTTATATATTAATAATATTAAGTAGTAATATTTTATTAGTAATAAAAATTTATATTTTTTATATTTTTTCCTTAACTTTCTCCTGATTATTTTTTTTTTAATTTCAGAAATAGGGATACTGAAAATGCTTGATACTTGAACTTGAATACTTGATACTGAAAATGCAGTGCAAAATATATAAAGCATCTGTCCTCTGTGTTAAAACAATTTAAATGAATATGATTATTCAGATATCTAGTATTGTAGAAAATATAAAAAATACTTTTAATTCGTTAAACAACAAAACTAATCAGTTGTTTATGAAATTCGACATAAATATTTTAAAATTTTTGTATAAAAATTAATAGATAAAAATGGAGGCATTTATTAAATTACTTTGTTGACTAGTTCTCCTATCATGCCAGGCCATGTCCCATCTTCTTTAAGCATTCCATAAAGACGGTTGTCTGCCTCTTTCACGGTATACCTAAATTAGTAAGTTCTATCAAACAATCTTTGCTGTCAAAGGACATTGTATATATCAGATTCTATTAAATATATGGTCAAGAATAAAGTTTATTACGAAATTTATTTTACAATAAAAATAAAATTCATGAATACTTTTCTTATAGTGAAAAAAAAAATTAAGAGTTTTTTTTTCTTTTATAAAAGAAAATAAATATTATTTATTACTTATAACAAATCATAATTAATATATTTTTATCGGTAATTTAATTTCCATAAATTATCATCTAATTGATTTTTCTGGGTTGTCTTGTGATAATGGTAACTAAATGAATTTGCAAAAAAATAAAACTCAAAATACTATGTGCAAGCTCGAAATATAAATAAGATTGAATGTCTAATTGAGCCAGCTAACTTATTTATTTGTAAAATAAATATACCTGACAAAATATTACGAAATCAGTATTTACCTTTAGTATACACTGAAAAAACATTTGTCTGCAAAGCACTTTGTGTATGCGGTCTAGCAGTGATCTAAAAACATCAGTTGCATAAATTTGCTCGTGGCTTTTTTCCACTTACGAAACTAATCTGTGCGAAACAATATTCTCCAAATTAAATATATAAGGAATATTTACAGGTCCATGACGACTGATGAGCATTTGAAGACACTACTGCGGCATGTGAGGTACATAGCTACAGCTAATTGCTTCCAAAACGGGAATCAAATGTTTCACTTAATGATGATCTTCCAGGTCCTCCATGTCCCTCTGCGCCATGAGCAAAATCAGACGGAATTATTCAGCGATATTCACTGCCGACATTCTTGTCTCAGAGCAGTAATTGATCCCACTGGTAACTGATCCCTGTGGAACAGTCTCCAGAGTAGACTGGGGTTGATTGATGGCATCAGACACGTCACACATCTTATATTACTACACTGAGGTGTACGGCCAGAAATCAATGCAACTTGTGGGTGTATTTCGATGTCTGGCTTTGTATCGTTGGTATAAGTCAATGGAAGTTGGAAGTTGTAGATTAAGTCCCCTTCCTTGACCACTTCGTCCATTATGTGGATATTTTGAGTAGAGAGGACTTTTTAACCAAAT